ATAGTTCTTATCGACCCTATCAATTAATCCGGTTCTTGGTCAATTACGTTAATTTAATCCGTTTTATAAATGTTATTCTTCTTTCCTTAATATTAAGCAAGGTATCTGGTATAGATAATTATAATATATGTAGAAGATTCAAAAAGGGTATATGTAGTGTATATTAATATATTGAATATATACAATATATATATATATTATCTTATTTTTGCTTCAGATATCTTTATCAAAGCCGTTCAAAGAAGATCCGAAGTTTTCCTGCGAAGCACTGGCAATCATTTGAGGCCGAGATATTCCGTTTCAAGACGTTTCAAAGAAATCATTGATGGATAGCAATACGATCGTGGTTTCTGTCGTGATCTTTTGCAATGCACGACCAATGTGGACCCTGCAGGGCGCAAATTGTTTTACATAGCGCATTCAGCGGGATTTTAGGGCCATTTGTTTCTCGTCAAACCACTTTGTGGTGAGGAGGAAATGCATTATCGTACATCAGTTGTGGCAGTGACCAACGAGGTCGTCAAATGTTACTGTCAAGCCACATAAAGCACGTGTTTTGTGTCCTTTGGCTCACACTGCACAACTAGGTTGATCCAAACGCCGGAGTTATGCCACGGCAGGATCGAATACACAATACATCAACTTTTGGGAGACTTGGCAACATGTCAAGCAAGAACGAGCTCTAAGCCGGTTGAGAGACTCTACGGAATCCTGGACACCTGGAAAATCCAAATCTCCACTAGCTTACAGTCCTCAAATTTAAGTTGGAAAGGACGGACCTCAGAAGTTGACCGGAGAATGGCCCAGAGGGCCAAGTCGGCAATCAGTCTGAAGTCGCAAAGTCTTTATCCCATCCCGATTTGTCGTCCTGGCCATCACTTCCAACAGCTGCATGGGATGATGATCATGGCTTCGCTGCTAACATCCCACCCCAACAGAGCTGTGCAGCGGTCCTTGTACGCGACCTACCCAACAACACAAGTCACATGCCAAACAGCAACAGCTTGCGGTCAAAGCTTGGTGACACAGGCACCAATGAAGATCCACACTGTCACACTCCATATTCTCCATTGTAAGGATCGTTTCAGCTGTTTCCAATCTAAAAAACCCAATGCCTGTGGTGGCCGATCAGCGTCTTTGGCTGAGAAGTTGGCGATATCCTTTTTGCTTTTCACCTTGGAGCAGCAGTGCTCCATCTCTGAGAATCATCCAAACCATGCGAAGCGCTTTGCCGGGTCAACCATGGCGTAACGCCATGCGTAGTTACAATATCATTCAAATGTATTATCTGTCCATAACAATCTATCTTACATCTTACGATGCACGAATAGGAAATGTAGGTTGCTCCCTGAGTCTGTGTGTGAGTGGTTGTGCGTCTTCTATTATCATGTACATTCCAGATAGATAGATAGATAGATTGATTGATTGATTTGATTTGATTTGATTTAGATTAGATTATACACATTAGATTAGACTGGATTCGATTAGATTTGGATTAGACTAGATTTGGATTATATGGATTAGATTAAGATTTAGATTGGATTAGACAAAGAAATAGATAGAAAGAGAGATAGATAGAGAGATAATTAGATAGAGAAACTGATAGAGAGAGTGATAGAGGAATAGATAGATAGACAAATGCAGTAGAAAAACATGTAGTTCCTAATGTCTACAATAATAGAAATGTTTTCCTCCTATATACTTATAACATCTTATAACTACATGTTACATATGTCCGTTGCCTTATCACGTCTATATCTTTGATGCAAAGTCACTGCTGGCCGGTACGGCGTCTCCATGGTGAGATTCTCGAAGGCTTTCCAATCAAAGTCCTCCCCCATAAGTTGGGATATGGGGCCCCTATAACTATGGTTACAATATGTTGGCTCCGCCGGGGGGGTTTGCCCGGCTTGGAACAAGGCTGACTGTGACTACATGTGATGAGTATCCGCAGCCGTTTGTTGTTCTTGTAGTCATGGTGTTGATTTTACTGTGTTTTTTCATATAAAATGTGGTTGTTCACAAGTAGACTTCATATCATGTTGCTTTCAGATGCAATTGATCATTGAATGTTTTGACAATGTCCAAACTTGAGTTTTTTTCGCCAAATCTGGTGGAAAAATCAACAATCACCTGTAATTTACAGTATTTCCATTTGACACGATTTGCATACATATATAGACAGACATGAAGTATACATACATATATATATATATATATATCACATACACCAGAAGTAAACAGAAAGAGTCAGACAGAAAGGAGACACATGGCAAGAAGAAATACATTGAACCCAATCAAGATGAGGAAACGATGGACAATCAAACATGACACTGCGATTGCGTGATACGTTTGCACATGACACACCAGCAGCGTACCATGTGTACACATGAACACACCAGCAGCGTACCATGTGTACACATCAACACACCAGCAGCGCACCATGTGTACACATGAACACACCAGCAGCGTACCATGTGTACACATCAACACACCAGCAGCGCACCATGTGTACACATGAACACACCAGCAGCGTACCATGTGTACACATCAACACACCAGCAGCGTACCATGTGTACACATGAACACCAACGTTGACACACCCCACCCCACCCCACGTACCATGTGTGCACATCAACACACCAGCAGCGCACCATGTGTACACATGAACACACCAGCAGCGCACCACGTGTACACATCAAAACAACAGCAGCGTACCATGTGTACACATCAACACACCAGCAGCGTACCATGTGAACACATGAACACCAACGTTGACACACCCCACCCCACCCCACGTACCATGTGTGCACATCAACACACCAGCAGCGCACCATGTGTACACATGAACACACCAGCAGCGCACCACGTGTACACATCAAAACAACAGCAGCGTACCATGTGTACACATCAACACACCAGCAGCGTACCATGTGTACACATGAACACCAACGTTGACACACCCCACCCCACCCCACCCCACCCCCCCCCACGTACCATGTGTACACATCAACACACCAGCAGCGTACCATGTGTACACATGAACACCAACGTTGACACACCCCACCCCACCCCACCCCACCCCACCCCACATGTTAAAATTCCGGGCAAACCCCCCCGGTAGACCCAATATGTTGTATATAATATGTTGTACAGATGGATAGGTATAGATATCCAAATATAACTTATATAACTATAGACTATAGTTGTATGTTCCAAGTAGATTATCTTAGACTCGGCGGGTCCTTGTACCAGCTATGCTCCTTGACATTTGAGACACCTCCACTCCTTGGATCGACGGTCTGAGAGGGTACCTAAAAAATATCCACGGTAAAAAACATATTTTTTCCAAAACGACGATCTGGGGGTATACTCCACCTGAAAACACAGACAAAAATCATCAAAAATCATCAAATGAATGAATTAAACATATATATAACCAAATATATAACAGATATATAAACGGATATATAACAGATACCCAACCCAAAAAATGATGAGTTTTTCTCCGCATGACCAGCGCCACTCAACGGCACAGTTTCTTCATGGGAAGCCGTTGAGATGGATCGTGTCTGCAGAGCTTTTTCACCAAATCCTCGATGGTGCCTGACCATGGGGCATCCCATGGAAAAGCATGGACAATAGCAGGGATGTGATGGATAACATAAATACTAGTAAGATAATATGTGAGAATATGATTATAATCTGTGAGCATTTCAATGTGAGAATATTATTAGCTGTGATAATATGTGATGATAAGAATAAACCATAACTTATATAGTAAGAATAATGATAGCAATGATATCATCCGAATCCATGGGAATTGTATGAATCGATGGGAATAACATGTATAATTATAATAACAATAATGACGTTCATTTATTTCAAATCGGATTGACCCGGCGATGTAGTTTTGAAGAAAATCATGCATCTACTATTGGGAAGAGCCTGGCAAATCAAATCAATCTACTCCCATCCGTAAAACTCTGGACTCAAAGGTGAAGTTGTCAATCTTCATGGCTTCAGACCCATGTAACTTCATTCAAGCTAGAATGCAGTATTTCGTACAAAAGACATTCAAAAACACAATTATCGCTTGTTACTCTTTGTGTTGGGACCCGATGCGACACTTTCGGATATGAGCCTTTGCACTTTGGCGGAAACAGCACCTGTCAGCTGGTGATTTTGAGTCAGGGATGCCTGGAGTACGCGGGGTGCTCCAGTGACCCTGTGACAAACAGGATCAGAGCCAAGCTCGGAGTAAGCCCAAGATCTTCTGTCGGAGGAATTGGCAAGAAAGCTTGCACGCCTTTTTTTAAGAGCAGTATGATTTTACGAGCTTGTGCGATCCATCTAGCCTACAGCTATCAAACGAATGAATCTACAAGAACATTCTGAAACATACTGAGATTATGAACTAAATATGAAGTGACACAACAAAGTATTGCACTGCCGTTGATGACACTTCCTTCCCCCCTTCGACAGGATTGAAGTGCCTTGTCTATTCCACGTTTCACCTGCACTTCTCAGTGTCTCATCTGGACTGGATTTGATGGAACAGCATGAGATATGATCTTTTCTGCGTTGAAAAGCGAAAAATGGTGGCTCCATTGCACTCTTCACATCTCTGCACTGTGTCTTGCTTCAAAGTCCATGGCTTCGACTGGTTCCACCTTCTGGTAGGTCTGCATGGGATTTGCCGACTCGAAAGGTGGATTCCTTGAAACAAAGATCGAGGGAAGCAAACTAAGAGCCTACGCTAGCCCTCTTCCCCAAGCGCATCGGTCATGAAGATTGCTCCATGTGCAGCAAAATATGGTAAAATATCATTGATATATGACAATGATATGGTAAAATATGGTTATTCCAATGGTAAAATATATGGGTTCGTATAACTTCGGCTATATCATTGGAATCAACGTCGGCATCGGCCGCTTCGCCATGGCTCCCAGACATCAATTCATAGGTGAGGACTCCCAGAGTCCACCAGTCAACCGCAAGTGTATGCCCAGAGGATGCCTCAGAGATGCCAAATAAGATTCGAAAAGTGGATCAATAACAAAGGATACAAAGGATGATACTCATAGTGTGTTATGTTCCTGGCACCGCATTGATTTTGAGATATTTTGAGTACTGCTGTTTCTCAAGAGCAACTATCCCTCCGAATGCCAAGTAGCTATGAGCTCGGGCGCAAAATAGTCTGGGGTGCCACCTCAAGTACGGTATAGTAGTAGCACTGTTGTACTTCAATATCTTCTATAGAAAGCTACCGGCATACAGTACAACTTTCCATTGCTGGCTATCAAAACTGTATACAATTTCGGAGACAGGGTTTGGATTTCTTTGCACTGCAAGCCTTGGCCAAAAAATATGCATATGCTGAAATGCATTGCCTGGACTGTGCCTTTTATTTGTCTTTAGCCCAATCAAACTATCTGATCTATCTGCAGATGAGCGGCAGGTCGTAAAGGTTTTGCCAAGAATCACCTCTCAGCATTTCGGCCAAGACTTCCCACGTGCTTTGCATGCTGTCATGTCACAGAACACTAAAGAATACACAATAGAAAACACTATCACTCAAAACAATATCAAAACATTAAAATGCATCAAAATGCCATCATTTGACCCATGTTGATTCAAGAGTCTTTCGCGAGGCCCATGTCAGTGAGCTTAATGTGGCCAAGCTCGCTCAGCAGTAGATTCTCGGGTTTGAGGTCGCGAAAGACAATTTTCTTGCCTCAGTCCGAATGGTATTGCAAAATATCGCAAACCGGGACAAGATTGCTAGGCTGCTTGAAGATTCTTCAAGACATGTTGATTGAAACATTAAAACGTACCCAAAAATACTGAAAAGCAATGTCTTTGTGAGCAAGATCATATGAACAGAGTGCGATTTGGCGCTTTTTTTCCAGCTATACCAAGCTGCTGTGCAAGTGGTCGAAAGCAATGACGACCCCAGCAACATAGAACTTGCCATGGACCTCTTTGCCAAACAGGCCCTTCCTGTGGTAGGTGGCGTAGAGTTCACCACCAAGTGCCAGTTCCAAGAGGAAGTACAGGTGCTCTGGGCCTTGTGTCGGAATGCGGTGCGGTCCCGCATGGGCTGGTATAACTAATATTAATCAATATATAATATCATTGATACATATTGATACATCATTTCCAGCACCCAAATCTGCAACCTTAGATTTTTACTAATCAACCTGCAGAAAAAAATCGAAAACCTTGCCAGGCAACTGTTGAAGGTCTCAAACACCTTGATGACGAAGCTGGAATCGCACATCAACTGAACGTTCTTTTCACCTTGTTGTTTTTTGAAGGGTTGTCATTAAAGAGCCCTGGGATACTCCTCAAAGGGTTACTCCTAAAAGTTGCTATGCTTGCAAACAAATTCTGAAAAATTCTCAAAAATTCAAAAACATATCAAAAAACAACTGCAAAAATCAATCCACGCATTCCAAAACAAATTCCCCCCCCCCAAAAAAACAGGAAAAAACGGAACAAATTCCAAAAAAAAAAAAAACAATTAACATATTCAAAAAAAAGAAAAAGTTTGAACGACAAATTTGAAAACATAAAAAACAAAACAAAGATTCAAAAAAACAAAACAAACAACAAACAATCAAAATAAAAATTGTTTAAAAAAACAAAAATAATAAAAACTAAAAAAAACATAAAAAACAAAAAAAAATATTAAAAACAAAAACAAAATAATCAGAAGAACATCCGATAAAATCAAAAAAACTGGAAAAAAACAAAAAGAACATACAACAAATCGTGAAATCATCATTTGAAAAAACCTTTTAAAAACATGAACGAAAAAGTATTTTTTGGAATGAAATTGCATTATATATTTGTACTGAAATTGAAATATGTCGAATTAAAATTCATAAAAAGGAATGTTGCAGGAGTGTCCCTATGAGGAATGTCCCTCTCCATAGAGAAGAAATTGCACAAGACAGGTTGAACCGCCAAGAAACACACCAAACCAAGCAAGGGACAGGATGAACATGGACATCCCATCCAAATCAGGGACATGAATCGAGACTCTTCCAGAGGCATAACATGTCTCCACAATTTAATTGTATGTTGGTCGTACGTCCCATTGTATCCAATTATCACGCATTATTCATTATTATTCATTATACGGATATTATAAGTTATATAAATCATTATAAATCCCCATGTTGGTTGGTTGATTCACCCAATTCCCAACAATTTTCCACATCTCTTGTGTCGGGACACTCATTACGCTTTTCTGCATCCCAGATTTCACCACAAAGCCTTTGCTCAGCGCCTTTTGGTTCGCAAACGGACATGTAGATTTTGATTTGACCACCAAAGACACGGGATTCGAAAATCTGGACTGGAACCATTGCCAATGCCCACGCAACATGTGATAAAAACATCAACATGCATCAACAATATTCAAACATTCAAGAAAAACCTTATCGGATCTCGCCCTTTTTGAATCAATTTTGGAGCATCCGCTTTTGGGGTCACCACCTGTGGGGATGTTCCACTGGCCTTCAGGGCATAGGTGCTTTGATCTTTGGAATGTTCCACCAGCTCCACGGCTCCGAAACCGCCACAGCCCAGTAGACCCAACACCTTCAAGTCCTGATGGCTTCACAGCTGGCCAATTGTAGATGTTATTGAGCCACTTATTGAGCTGAATACCTTGAAAGATTATATATGATACTACAAAATTATATGACATGATCAATAAAATGCATCGGTATCTAAAAACTGACTAAGGCGTGAGTTGCAAATCACAATGGCTCGGACGCAAAACTACTAAGAGTGTCCCTCAAAATTGAAGAAAAGAAGAAGATATTAATTATTTCTTTTTTTTTTGTGCATTTTCTTAGTAGTTTTGCGGCCGTGCCAATACGAATTGCGAAATGGTCCTTAGTAGCTTTTGAGCGCGTTCTTGGAAGCTTTGCGGCCAAGCCAATACGAAATGCGACACCGTGCTTAGTAGCTTTTGAGCACATTCTTAATAGTTTCGCGGCCAAGCCAATACGAATTACTAATTTAACGCTGCTTCCGCGTGATGTATGTGGATATGCGCACGCAAACATGGCCCCGCTCCCCAGGAATCAACGTTGCCACTCACAAAAGCCAGTCTTGCCTGGTGCTAAGGGTTGCGCCCAGGGTCCTGTACACTGCCGCTGGCTGTACACATGTCTTGCATTGCTTGTGGCAGTCAAAGTTCAACCTCACATGCTTGCTGCAGAACAGCACGGGCATCCCTGCGCCTTTTGAAGCGTTCCTTTGGCTTGCGCTGCGACGCGGGCCCATTTTCGGGGCTGTGAGATGCTGGGGGCCTGCATGCGTTTTGCCTGCATGTGAAACCAGCATCCTGGCACCAAGCGCAAGAAAACATAAATGAAAGATGCAACCTGTCGCAGCTCAATGCGCTCTTTCCAGAAGGCAAAACGCATATACCATGGGCCCACTTGAGGCCGGGGGTGGATGACGAAAGCTAGCGGGGTAGGAGAAAGAAGGAAGGGAAGAGGTGAGTTGCGGAGGGACTGTCATCATCGTGTCGCGGCATTGTTCGTCCCAACGAGGATGCAACAACGATATATGATATATGATATATAACAATGATATATATGGGGGAGGGGGCGGGGGCCCCCGTGAAAAAGCACGTGATGTCCTTGGGGAGCCCCGGAATACTTGCTAAAGCAAGAAGACTCTAGCGAGCTGACGCTAGCTTCGTGATAATGCCAATAATTGCCAATAATGATAAAATGTAATTGATTAACGATGATGGTGATGATGATGATGATGACGATGATGATGATGATGATGACGATGACGATGACGAGGACGATGACGATGACGAGGACAAGGACGAGGACGAGGACGACGATGATGATGATGATGATGATGATGATGACGAGGACGATGGCGAGGACAATGACAATGATGATGATGATGATGATGACGATGATGATGACGATGATGATGGTGGTGATGGTGATGGTGATGATGATGATGATGATGACGATGACGATGACGAGGACGATGGCGAGGACGATGACGATGATGATGATGATGATGATGATGACGACGATGATGATGATGATGATGATGGTGGTGATGGTGGTGGTGATGACGATGACGATGACGAGGACGATGGCGAGGACGATGACGATGATGATGATGATGATGATGATGACGACGATGATGATGATGATGATGGTGGTGATGGTGGTGGTGGTGGTGGGGGGAGGGGTCCCCCCCTTTCGCGTGAAAAATCACGTGATGTCCTTGAGCAGCCCCCGGAATACTTGCTAAAGCAAGAAGACTCCAGCTAGCTGACGCTAGCTTTCGTGAAAATTGGGGCCACAAATTTGGAAGCTGCGCTACTAATTTTAGTATTATTGTGACCCATCTGTCCCCTGTTTTGGGGCCACAAAACACAAACAGGAGCTATTCAATACGGGCAGCAAGTGTGCTACTGCTGCCACAAGCTGACAGCAGCACATATCCGTGATACTGTATTATATAGATGTATAGGTATATTGTGAATTTCAACATGTTCCAGGGTCCAAGTCACTCCAAAGCTTCAGGTCTTGACACATATAACATCTACGGCTGTCTGCAGCACTTGGCTGAGGCTAGCCATAGGGATTGGTGGGTGGGAAGTGCTTGTGGCACCCCATTTGTGCCATTGAGTCGTGGCCGACTCTTATCGCTTGCTGTGGACAGCATTTTTGGAGACTGGGACATTTCATTCCGAGATCTGCAGGGAAAAGAGAACGCGGCCGTTCATCCGAAGATTGCATTTCTTGTTGTGGCTACCTTTCTGAACCCCATTCAGATTGGTAGCGGAGCTACCACTAGCTCCAGGGTGCCAATTAATTTCCTACAAGTGTGGCGTGACCATTGAGTGACGCACCATCCAGTTTTGAGCATGAGTTCCGAGACCGAGGAAAAGGCGACAACTAGTGTTTCGACACAGCTTGCAACACTGGTACCATCGTTTGATCCCTCAAAGGATGATCTTGAACAGTATGCGCAGAAGATTGAGATGTTGGCCGAAATCTGGCCGAGTGACAAATTGAATGAGCTGGCCACTAGGCTCATTCTCAATTCGACTGGAGCAGCATTTCAGAAGCTGCAACTGCAGAAATCCGTGATTCTGACAGGTACCAAGGACGGCATCCAAGCCATTGTCACGATCTTAGGTGGACAATGGGGAAAGGTTAACCTTGAGAGAAAGTATGAGACGGTGGAGAAAGCCCTTTTCAGGTGCACTCAGCGTGGTGATGAAACCAATGATTCATACTTAGCAAGAACTGACATTTACTGGACCGAACTTTTATCAAAGAAGACCTCACTGGAGGAAATCCAAGCGTATGTGGTGCTCAGGGGATCACTGTTGTCTCAAGAAGACAAGAAAAAGGTCATTCTTGAGTCAGACGCCGCTGGAAAAGGTGTCCTCGCCATCGACAAAGTGAATCAATCAGTTCGCATGTTGGGATCAGGTTTTTTCATGAAATGGTAGGCCTCAAGAAATCCAAAGGCAAAGTGTATGATGCAACAGCTCTTTTCTCCGAAGAGACCGATGATGCAGAAGGAACCGCTTTCACCATGGAAGAACCGTCCGAAGAGGACATGCTTGAGATGCTTCTCCAAGAGGGAGATGAAGACGCCGCCTTCATCAGTGACTATGAAACAGCCATGACCGAAACCATCCAAGATGACCCTGAGCTGGCATCTGCCTTGAATGCCTACACAGAAGCCAGAAAGAGACTTAGTGACCGTGCCAAGAACCGAGGATTCTGGCCCCTTGGGAATTCCAAGGGTCGTGGTAAGGGTTTCAAAGGCCGTGGAAAGGGTGCTTTCAAGGGTGCTCGAAAGAGTTTGCAGCAGAGAATCATGGAAAGTTCATGCCGTATTTGCGGCAAACGTGGCCATTGGAAGGCTGAATGTCCTGATAGACCAAGAAGTTCAGGTTCGGCCGTGCCATCCACTGCAGCCACCATGACCACCGTGATCGAGTCCACTCCTGCTGAGACCATCGATGAGTTTTTGCCCTTGGAGTTCATGCAACTGCCTGTAGCATCCGAAGCCACACTTGACGACGAGCCCAATCCGCAAGTAGCCAGTGCTTTCACCATGATTTTTCGGGGTAAGAAGTACTATAACCTGGGGAATCCGAGTAAAGAGGATAAGATGTCAGGGGTAGATAATAATAGATTATCGGGGAAACATGACATCGCAGAGCTCAGGAATGAATGCCCAGTGAGAGAAAGCGTCCGTAGATTTCCAGTGTCCAAAGCCCTGCCGAAAGCCAACCAAGTGCATCTCGCACATGACGAGGTAGCCCTTTTTGCAACCCACGGATCTTTTGGGATCCTTGACACCGGAGCAACCAAGTCAGTAATTGGAAGTGCCCTCGTACCAGAGTTGCTGCGAAGCCTGCATCCTAAGGTGCGAAACAAGGTTCAAAGATGCAAGTGCAGTGTGACTTTTCGATTCGGAAACCAAGGACTTCTTGATAGCAATCATGCCATTGTTATCCCCATAGGTAACCTTGGGTTAAAGATCGCAGTTGTTCAGGGTCACACTCCTTTGTTGCTGTCCAATACCTTGCTGCGAGCCTTGAAATCTAGCATCGATATTTCCTCCAGCAGCCTGCATAGCCCAGTGTTTGGAAAGCCTATCAAATTGCACTTGAACAGCCGTGGTTTGTTCCTTGTTGATCTGAATGAGCTTGTGCAAAGTGCGCTGAAACTTTCGACTGCAGCTGAGACTTTTGCCAACTGTGACAACGTCGAAGCAGCCTCCGTGAACAAACAGGACCCAATTGACCGAAGTGGGAAACTCAATCAAGTCACACAGACCACAACCATGCCAATCACACGCAACATGTTTCACAAACACAATTCAGGAAAATCACCAACACCGAAAACAGTGTCATTTCCATTTCAAGATTCAGTTCCACAGGTGCAGATTTCCGAACAGTCTCATGAGATCCATGAGGAACGAATGCCAGTTATCAATAGCCAACAGATTGGTTCAAGTAACCCTCCGATTGTTGCATCCGATCCGTGTGCCAACAGCCAAAATGAGCCTTGCCGACCGATCCGACCGTGTCCTGGAGCGCAGCCAGACCTATGCCCAAGGCGACAGTCTGGAGGAGTTCAAGTCCCTGAGCTTCGAGGAGAAGTGCCAACAGACCGTAACCTTTGGAAAGACCCACGTGGGCAAGACCTACTTGGACATGTACCACCACGAGCCCAAGTGGATGAAATGGTTCTTGCGAACCTACGAGACCTCCCAGAAACTGGACCATCTGAAGCTCCGTCACTTTGTGCAGATCATGGTGGAGCAGGAAGAGAAGGGCGAGACGCCCCCAACGATGACCATGACGGAGCCATCACATCAGATGCCAATGTTTGCCAAAGCAAAGGCACGACCTCGAGATCCAACTTCATCTCATCGCCTTCACGAAGAGATGACCCTGCACCAGGAAATGGAGCCAGAGGCAGACGAATGGTCCCTGGCCTCAATGAATCCCGAGTCCAACGAGATGATCACAGCACTGCAGGCACGTATGGGCCACATGGAAAATGCGATGACGGAGATTCTGAATCACA